GCAGCCAGGGAAAGCTGACCCTTAGCGCCCGATTCAGAGAGACTTTTACCTTTCTTCTGCCTCAGGTAGCCCAGCCCTGACAGCCTGTCTGGCCATTTCAACTTTGGGGCCCCCATCAGGCTTCTAGCCCTGGGCCCCAGCCTCCACGCCCGGGGATCTGCTGGAAGCCTGGGGTGGTCAGGGCAAGAGGTGCGACACCATATGCATTAGTGTACAGGCATACGTTGGAGATATTTTGCAGGTTTGGTGTCAGACCACCGCCACGAAACAAATGTGGAGAAAAAGAGAGTCAAATGAATTTTTTTGGTTTCCCACTGCATATAAAAGTCATGTTTACACTCTACTACAGTCTGTTAAGTGTGCAACAGCATTATGTCTAAAAAAAGCAATGTACCCTACCTTAATTAAAAAATACTTTATTGCTACAAAGTGCTAGCCATCGTCTGAGCCTTCAGTGAGTCATAATCTGTTCGCTAGTGGGCCTTGCGTCGATGTTGGTGGCTGCGGACCCATCAGGGTGGTGGCTGCTGGAGGTGGGGGTGGCTGTGGCAGTTTATTTGAATTAGACAACAACAAAGTTGGCCACATCAAGTGACTCTTCCCTTCGCGAACGATCTGTCTGTGGCATGCGATGCTGTGCGATAGCATTTCACCCACTGTAGAACCTCTTTCAAAATTGTGGAGTCAATCCCCGTAAACCCTGCTGCTGCCCTATCAACTAAAGTTTACGTAATATTGTAATTCTTCTGTTGTCATTTCAACCATCTTCATGGCCTCTTCACCAGCAGTAGATTCCATCCCAAGAAACCACTTTGCTCAGTCCTGAGAAGCAACTCCTCATCCTTTCAATTTTTATCCTGAGATTATAGCCATTCCGTCACATCTTTGGGTGCTACTTCTAATTCTTGTTCTCTTGCTAATTCCGTCACCCTGCAGTTACTTCCTCTACTGAAGTCTTAAACCTTCAATTTGTTAAAAAAATAAAATAAATGCAAATCTCAATAAAGCAAAGCATAATAAAAAGAAGGTTATGGGGCAGCCCCGGTGGCGCAGCGGTTTAGCGCCACCTGGAGACCCAGGATCAAGTCCCACGTCAGGCTCTCTGTATGATGCCTGCTTCTCCCTCTGCCTGTGTCTCTGCCTCTCTCTCTTTCTGTCTCTATGAATAAATAAATAAAATCTTTAAAAACAAACAAACAAAACAAAACAAAAAGAAGGTTATGCCCGTAGTAACTGGAGTGTAAGCTCTCAAGCCAACTTGGGTTCAGATCCTGGTTCTGGCTCTAAGGCCTCGGTCAACAACTTACCTCTCTGGGCCTCAGTTGCCTCATTTATAATGTAGGACTGCTACTAATACACACCTCACAGAATTGTCGTGGGGGTAAGTGAAAAACATTTGCAAAAGGCTTAAGTACCTGGTCCGTAGTAAGTGCTCAATAAGTGTTAACTGTTGTGATGCTGCTGAATCAGCCATGATGGGAGCACTGACCACACAAATGTTAAGGGAGAAATTGTACTTCCCCTTGGTGATGAGCTTCTCTGCCCGGTCTTATTTCCTGCACAGTGCACCTGCCCAGCTCAGACCCTGATGACACAGTTCTGGCAGCGCCAATTACATGGTCTTCTGGTCTCACCTCACCCCCTACAATCCATCTGCCATTCAGCTCCCAGAGTGGTCTTATTCAAAAGGTTACGATCATCTCCTCCCATGTCAAGTAGCTTCATTAATTCCCCATGGCCTTCTGGGTCTAGGCTAGACCCCGGAGCCAGCCATTTCTACTTTCTGGCCTTACAGTTGAGTTCTCTTGCTAGGACCTTGGGCAACCACCCATCCCCTGGCAGCCTTACTATTCCCTCCTTGCATGTAATATTGACCTTCTGACCTCTGTGCTTTCTTCTGTTATTCCCTTTGCCTGGAATATCCAGACCTCATCTCTGCCTGTTGAAATCCATAAAAGTCCAGGCCAAATGATGCCTCCTTGAAGCCTTCCCTGATTCCTCTGAAAAGAGATGGTCTCTTCCCTTCCTCTGTGTTTGTGGGCATTCTGCTTTTCCTTGTGGTTGTGACATCACCAAGTCCATGACTCCTTGAGGTCAGGGACTATATCTGATTCAGCACCGTGGCTGGCACAAAGTGCTGAATGAATGAATGAATGAATGAATGATGAATAGTGTATAGGACAACAAGCCAGCGTCCCTGTTGCAGATTGAGGACTGCAGTGGGCATCAGCATGATCAGTGAGTTTGTCCTGGGCTACTTCAGAGGTATGGCTGAAGAGGAAGCTTCCGCTACTGGTCCAGGCTCTAAGCTGCCCCCTCGTGCACCCACACAGTCCCCCAACATTGACCAGTTTGTGATTTAGAAGAAGAGGGTTAAGAAGCTACTCAGAGTCAGCCCAGAGGTCTGGACACAGTGCCTGGCTCCTGGGACTCAGCTTGGCTGTCCTTAAGACCAGCAGAGGGGCAAGGCTCATGGATGAGAAGCTGCTCAGCAGCACCTTGCTTGGGACCCCATCCAGAGCAACCTTCCTCCACCCCCTCCACCCTAAACCCCTGGTGACAGTGAAGGGACAGAACTGAGGGCTCAGCGCCACCTGCTGGCCACAGAAAAGACCTACTTGATCAGAAAATCAGGGCCACTTGTCCTAGGCTTTCCACTCCCACGAGATCCCCCTAGCCTTAAGGCTTAGCTCAGGGAGGAGCTAGAAAGTTCCAGGCATGGAGGGAGCTGCTGATCTCAACAGAAAAAGGACGCCAAGCCACCCATTTCCTGTAGTGAAACTGAATTGCTAGTCTGGAAAAACTAGCCCACTAGCCATACTGGAAACCTGCCTGGGCCTGATGCCTATGGATTTAGCATGTTGCCAATTACCACAAGGCCCACATGTTACCCATGAAGGTGGCCCTCTGGCCTTTCTGCTGGAGAGGACTCACCCAGCTTCTACAGGACCCACTTTCTCTCCCCAGGTGACATCCTTCCAGCTCCTCCCCAACATCCTTCCTGAGGGAGCTTGTGGTAAGGAGGAGAATAGCCCTGGCTTCCCACAGCTCTCTGGGCTCATCTTTGAGGTCTCCTCAGTGTCAGGTATCAGACACCTTGTGTTGTATGAAGACATGAACTCTGCATGTCAAAGTCGTGTTGACCCCAGATCAGGACAGGTCTAAATCACAAAAGATCTGTTCCAGCTTGAAAGGAGCTGGAAAAAGGTGGAGCCATGGGATTAAAGTCAGAATCAGGTTCCAGAGAGTGGTGGTTTCTTTGCTCTAGAATCTAGGTTATTGGCATCCTCTCTTCCAAGTCCACCTGCCTGGGGCATTGCATAAACCTTCATGGAAAGGGAAGTGCTACCTACACCCTCCCCTACTTCCACTCTGGGCTGACATGAAAGGTAGGCTACCTTGACTGGCCAGCTTGGGCACAAGGAGTGCAAACATCTGTCTTTCCCTTGACCTTGTGTCTTCCCAGGCACCGATGCCAGTGAGTGGAAGGGGTGATACGAAGTACATATGCAACTATGCAATTTATTTCCTTCACTGGGAGAAGCAGTGGCGTGCAGGAGTATGGGTCAACAGCACACAAAGCCCTCTTCAGCTCTCCTTTGTCACATGCCTCTACTTCATTGAAGAGTATCATTCTTTGCACCACAGTTATGTTTCAAACTCCTCCTCCCCAGACCATCAGCCCTCAAGGTGAAGCAAAACAGGCCAGGTAGCCCTGCCTCTGTGGACTCTTTACCTCATTTGATCAATTCCAGTTTTTCTCATGACACCATCATTATTGGAGAAGGGAGGTTGCCCCCGAGAGAAGTAAGTTCTGGTGGAGACTTTTCTTTGTTGTCAAATTCCTACTGTGTCCTTGATTTCCCATCCATCTTGGAAGTAGAACAGAAATCACCCCATAGTTCTGCCTCTTTTGCACCTTTTCAGGTCACTGAAGGTCCGACCAGCACACTCATTTCTGAGCTTAGTAAACTCTTTGATGCACTTTTTTTTTCTACATCATAGATTTCCTTCTAATCAATAATGTCCATTCAACATCCCCCACATTTTACATCTAATGTTTTATCTTCCTATAAAGAGACTCCATTGGTCATTTCCCCCCTAATTTTATTTTTCATTGAATTACTTCATTATTATAATCTCTACAAAATTATTTTAAAATCTCAACTGCCTTACTACCTTTTCCACAAGGCGTCATTCTTTTTGACTCACTCTCTTTCAATAACTGTAGATGGCTTTGGGCTACCTTATTTGTCCCAATAGTTCCATCTGTTGCCCTGTTCTTCCTTCCAGATCTCCGTTTTATGAGATTCATTGGCTCCTCAAATGATAAGGACATATTATTGGAATAGGCACCAACTAAACCGATGCCACAATCCCCAGGGCTGACACTAAAGCCCACTCTGTATCACCCTCAGGTGGGAGCTCAGCTTTGGGGAGTTCTACTGTGGTCAGTCATCTAAGCCAAGTCTTCTGCCTCAGTTATGCCCATGAATGAGCTCACTGTGCCCCTTCTGAGTGACCTAAGAAACTGTTTTCAGGATCATTCCTTCAACTCTCTGTAGAGATGTGAACAAGGCTTCTCTGCTCCACAAAGATGACATCCCCTGATAACTACTGTACCTTGCCCATGACTAACACCTGGCATGAGGCTCCCCACAGCCCTGTCAACCTCTGGCCTGAATGAGGTGCCTGCTCACATGTGCCATTAGGAATAACACCAGCCACCTTGGTTCAGTTACAGAAAATACGGCAATGGCCAAACACGCCAACCAACAGGTCCTCCCCTAAGAACAGACAAGATCTATATAGAGTGAGCCTCTCCTCTAGACCTAAGGATCCAGTTCACCCTTCACACCCCAACCCTGGATCTTCCTTGGCAGTATGGCATATTGATTAAAAATCTAAGCTCTACCCTTTACTAGCCACAAGATCCTAGACACGTCACTCATCTCCTCTCAAATAATAACTCAGAGATATTAAGTTAAAAGTGCAGATGAATATGTTTATTCACATATTAGCATGGATAGGTCACTCTCATTGAACAGCAGAATTTGAAATGGAAACAGGCCACAGTATAGAAATCTAAGTGTTACTTTGGGGGGAAGGGTATAATTGACATACACTATTATATCAGTTTCAGGTGGACAACATGATTCATAAGTTGTTATGTATTGCAAAAAAGCACCACAATAAGTACAGTTAACATCTGTCACGATAGTTATAAAAATCTTTTTCTCAAAAGTTTTTGTAAACTAAGATTTACTCTCAGTAACTTTTAAATATGCATTACAGTATTATTAACTATAGGCACCGTGGTGTATATTATATTCCCATAATTTATTTTATAAACAGAAGTCTGTTACCTTTTGGCCACCTTCACCCATTTCATCCACCCACACCACCCCTGGCACCTAGCACTGTGCTCTCTGTTAGCTACGGGCTTAGGTTTTTCTTTTTGTTTTTAGCCCACATGTGAGGGCACCTGGGTGACTCAACAGTGCAGCATCTGTCTTTGGCTCAGGTCATGATTCCAGGGTGGTATGGAGGAGAGTAGCCCTCCAAGTCTCGCAACAGGCTCCAGACAGGGAGCCTGCTTCTTCCTCTGCCTGTATCTCTGCCTCTCTGTGTCCCTCATGAATAAATAAATAAATAATCTTCAAAAAAAGAAGTTTTAGATTCCAAATGTGAGATCATATGGTATTCGTCTTTCTCTATTTCATTTAGCATAATACCCTCAAGGTCTATCTGTGGTGGTGCAAATGAGGAGATTTCGTTCTTTTTTTATGGATGATTAATATTCTATTATTATATTTTTCATTATATATGTGTATGGATGGATGTGTATCACATATATATGATAGATGTTATAGATATACATTATATGTATATATATATATCACATTTTCTTCATCCATTCATCCATCAATGGACACGAGTTTCCTTATCTTATATATTGTAAATAATGCTTCAATGATCTAAGGGGACATAGATCTTTTATACTTAGTGTTTTCACTTTCTTCAGGTAAATACTCAGAAGTCGAATTGCTGGGTCATTTGGTAGGTCTGTTTTTACTTTTTTGAGGAACTTCCCTTCTGTTTGCCATAGTGGCTACTACCAATCTACATTCCCATCAATAGTGCACTAGGGCTCCCTTCTTTCCACATCCTCACCAACATGTGTTGTTTCCTGTCTTTCTGATACTATCCATTCTGATAGGTGTGAAGTAGTATCTCATTGTGGTTTTGATTTCCCTGTTGATCAGTAATGTTGAGCACCTTTTCATGAGTCTGTTGTCCATCTGTATGTCTTCTTTGGAAAGTGTTGCTTTCTTTTGCTTGGATAAGCTGATTGGCAGGAAGTTATAAAAGAAAATGAACAGTCTGCTCTTGGGCAAGCTACCTAAGCCACTGGGAAAAGTAATTTCAGGTACTTATGCATTCGCTGAGAAATCTTTCTGTGTAGGAATTTCCAATGTTCTTCTATGGTTCTTCCATGTGAATAAGCCATGAATACATCATAATGAAAGCACCTCATTACAGTTCTTCAGTCCTTCCTATATCATTTTGGATGTTCTGAGGAGAAGCTCTTAAGGTATACCTTAGAGGATAAGGGATTTGTTTGGCATAGTTCCTGTGAAAGATAAAGGAGAGAGGGTGCATGAGTATGAGGACAAAGCCTTAGACCATGATGTAGGTATCATATCTGTAAAGGGAGGAAGAAGGGAGGTTTGGGTAGCAAGATCCCCAGACTACAGTGCATGTCTTAGAAAGTCTCAGCCACCCCAGTGGGGAGCTCTAAAACTCCTGCATTTCTCAGCTATTTTCTGGGGCTGCCCAAGGAGAGCATGACATAGGTTCTAGTACTGCAGTGGATCCCTGACGTGCCACAGCTGGAGCATGTTGGTTGAGTATGCTCCATAGCTGGCTCTCTCTCTCCAAGGGGTCTCAGCAGCACATCTCCATAGCAACCACACTTTCTAGTTAAAACTCAACTCCCTGAGAAGCTGTATTGGTTAGCCTTCGCTATGTAAAATCCAGCCTAAAATACAGTGGCTTTGGGGGGGAAAAAAGTATGTATTTCTCATGCATTTGAGAGTTGGCTGAACTCTTGGCAGCATTCATGGTTGTTGAATGCTGATGATTTCAGCTAGATTCGCTCACATGTCTGGGAGTTGTGGGCCATCATGTGATCTGGACCAACCTTTCCTAGTACAGCTCTAACTTCTGCTGTCACTCAGCCCCCAGCAGGCTCACATGGATGCATCCTCCTCTTAACTAATATCAGAAGCACCAGAGAAAGCAAATGGAAACACAGAAAGTCCCTTGACGCCTAAATTTAGAACAGGCCCTCTTTCCCTTCAGCCTCATTCTACTGGCCAAAGCAAGTCAGGAGATTGAGCCCCATGTTGGGGGCAGCCCATCGTTGGAGGACACTAGCAAATTGCATGGCAGAGGACGTGGATATGAGGAAGGGTGAAGGCCCAAACCATCACATAATCCAGGCTCATCACAAAGGCTTGAGTCTCTTTTTCAATAAGTATCATTGCCAAATGTGAGGTTACCGTGATAGCACCTGAATTATCAGAAGTCAGAGGAATGCAAGAAATAGAATATTTACAAATATCACAAGAGACATTTGAAAACCACTCTGTATCTAGTTATCTCATTGGCCTAGGTCCCATCAGAAAAATAAATCCCATGAATCAGTTGGCAATTTTTTGATAAACAAGTACCCTTTTCGGATACCTGGGTAGCTCAATGGTTGAGCATCTGCCTTTGGCTCAGGGCATGATCCCGGAGTTCCCAGATCAAGTCCCGCATCAGGTTCCCTGCATGGAGCCTGCTTCTCCCTTTGCCAGTCTCTGCCTCTCTCTGTGTGTCTCTCATGATTAATAAATAAAATCTTTAAAACAAACAAACAAACAAATAGCCTTTTCTTCTTAATTAACAGAGTATTGCACTTTTCCTACGGGATTTATAATGATTCTGTCTTGGCTGGTCCATAAATATCTGAGGGTAATTTTATTATGTAGAACCATTTTAACCAACATGTTTACACTGGTCTTTTGGGCCTCTACAGTTTGACTTGTTTTATTTGCTTTTTGGGCCATAGTCAAGGATAAACATGTTTGAAAACATGCCTTAGGTGGGAAACACTTAGGGAGGGTTAGAAATCCCTGGCTAGGGCGCCTGGGTGGTTCAGTCGTTGAGCATGTGCCTTTGGCTCAGGTTGTGATCCCAGGGTCCTGGGATTGAGTCCCATATCAGGTTCCCTAAAGGGGAGCCTGCCTATATCTCTGCCTTTCTGTGTGTCTCTCATGAATACATAAATTTTGGGGAAAAAGAAAAAAGAAATCCCTGGTTAAACCAATAAATCTGGTGGCGAGTTACCCCAGCTGTTAACAAAATATGAGCACCTGGGAGAAGGAATTCTGACCTCTGAAGCCATGGTTTCTATGTGTGAGAACAACAGTACAGCCCATACACGGTTCAAAATCCTGGTCCGAACCATAAGATCAGGTCTGATACACAGTGAAACTGATATATCACAAAGAGGCAGGGGCTTTATGCTCTCCCCAGAGCCACAAACCACCATGTGGAGATCAGAAAAAAGCTCATCAACACAACATCAGAAAAAGCCACACACCAAAACACACACCACACTTAGAATACCCCAGTATGAATCCTAAGAAGTCTTCAACAGGATCCACTGACAATAATCCCTGAACTCCCAAAGCCAACTCTAAAACACAGAGTTAACCTTTGCTATGGAGCCACTTACCTTTCTCTTAAAAAATACATATAACCAGTACAATTACTAAGATTATTACTACAATGCTGATAACAATGTTCTTCCAAACAGAAGTTGTCTTCTCTGTTTCTGCAGGGAGAAAGGGAGAAAACATTAAGAAGAAATTCCTGGCCAGAGCCAGAGACCATACAACCACTGCTCGGATCTGTGGCTGTATGTCATTCTCGCTGTCCCTGTGACCCTCTGCCACATGTCATGGCACCCTCCATTCCTATCACATACACCTCCATACCAACACACCCCGCGTGTTTAGCACTTGCTAGAATACACTGCAATATCAAACACCACATGCCACACACATAAGCCATGCAATGTTCAAAGCTTCCAAACTACAGCACCATCTAACTGCTATAGAGTGAACGTGTGTGCTCCCCCCAAATTCATACAGTGAAATCTTAGTGCCCAATGTGATGGTATTAAGAGGTAGGTGGGTGAAACTCTCATGAATGGATTTAGTGCCCTTATAATAGGGGCCCTAAAGAGATTTCACATCCCTTCCACCACGTGAGGATACAATAAGAAGTCTGTAACCCAAAAGAGGGTCCTCACCCATCCATGCCGGCATGGCACAATTACTACAAACCTTCAGTCTCTGAAACTGTGAAAGATAAAGTTCTGTTTTTTTTAAGTCACCCAAACTGCAGCAAATTGTTATAGCAACCTTAATGGACTAAAACATATGTATAACCCAGACAAACCCCTCATACCGTACACACAAAGCATATTTCAATTTCATACTCCCCACACCCTACATATACTCTGCACACATCTCTTCACACACCATCCACACATATTCCTAGCCCTTACTTCCAAGAATAATTCCTCTCTCGCTCCAGGATCATACTAGATACCCAGACCACATCCCCAAGGGCCGCTAGTCCCACCCTGCCTGCTTTACCCCTCTTAGCTCCAGGCCGATGCATTTGACCAGCAGGGTCATACCTACCCAGAACCAGAGCCATGACCATGGAAGCCAAGGTATGAGCTCCATGGACCTCATCCTACCAGCAGGAGGGATTCTATAGTGAGCTGCAGACCTTGAGCTAAGGATCCAATGCGCCTGGGGAAAGTCCTGGGCATCTGCAGAACCACCCTACTATGGTCTCCCCATCATGGGCACAACTCATAAGACAGAACTACTGACGCAGCCTCTACCAGCCAACAGTTTGCAGTGGACCTGGGGCCTGAGCAGAAGAGTTGCTGGCAGGGCTGAGTCCCTGGTCCCTGACAGACTCTTATCTTCAGAGGACTATCTTTGTAGCTAGTAAGCTTTATACTCTAAGCCATATAGAGCACCCAGATCACATAAACTGCCATGAGCTAACAAGTAGCCCTATTTCCATCTGAAGACTATTGTCACCACTTTCCACCTACTTGACCATCTGCCCTGGCTTAGAGACCTAGTCTGGACTGCTGATTCTGGGGCTGAGCTATGCCAGACCAAGCTTCCTATCTTCCCCACTGTTCGTCTTCCCCTAGACTGCCTGGAAACCAAAGTTTTACATTACCCGACCTCAAGGTGAAGAGCAGGGGAAATGTTCAGGAGGCTGCTTACCTGTCACAATCAAGGTGAAGTTGTGGCTCTGGGAGGTTGGCAAGGATTCATGCCATACCACACACTGATAGACAGTCATATTGTCTTCCAAAGAGGGCTTCACCATCAAGTAACTAGTGACACTAAATGTGCCATCCTCATCTTTGGTGGTACTATTAGTAATGATGCCCTCAGAAACCTCCAGATACCGGGGATCCTTTGGGGTCCACTTTTTCCATGTTATGGTAATGTTCTTGGGGTAGAACCTACTTGCCATACACAAAATAAGTTGTTCTTCATTTTCTTTCACCGTGGCTTGCTCTGGAGACAAGCTGCTGACGGGGTAAGCTGCCAAGAGAGAGAAGTCATGTTTCAAGGGGAGGTAGGGACCAGTTTATTACCGTAACATGGAAAGGAGGAAGGGGGAGAGGAGAGGAGAGCACAGCAAGCCTTCAGGAAGGGTGAGCATACTGAATGGGATTCTGCTTAGGCTAAATATTCTGGGTATGTTGGTTTCAGTGTTAGCTGATATGCTGTGGTCCCCTACTCTCACAGCAATTTTATAGAGTAGAGTTTCTTAAGATCCTTTGTGTCATAGACACCTTTGAAAATCTGAGGAAAGCCTTGGAACACTATTGTGGTAGAGACTACTAATGGCCAATTTTCATTCTTCAATGACATATTCAAGATAAAGCTACATCTCTCAACCTCCCTGTAGCCCTGTGAACTTAGGGTCTCGTCGTTTGGATGTAGTCAGAAGTGATGAGAGCAACTTCCAAGAAGTATCCTTAAATAACAAGCGTATCTTAAAGAAAAGGACTGTGCTCTCCTCTCCTCTCCCCCTTCCTCCTTCCTGCAGAATGGCTGGACTAGTACATGATAGCTAGAGATGGAGAAGCCACTTCCAAACACAAGGTGGCAGCTACATGTTGAGAATGGCAAAGTGATCAGATAAAAGGATCCGAGGTCCCCTATGGTCAGAGAACTGCCATACCTGCCTTGGATTGGCTACATTTCTGTAAAAGACAACAAACTACCTTTTTAAAAAAGCCATTGTTGACTTCTGGTTTCCCTTCTGACATGTAAAGACCCTGAAAGTCATAACAAGAAAAAAGCTGAGCTGAACAAACTATAATCAACAGGTTCTCTTAAATCCATGAGAGAATGAAGGTATCAGGGCAAACCAGCACCCTGAAAACTAGAGAGACAGATTGAGAGAATCACAGCCAAGATCATGTCACCTTAAGCAAATGCTAGGACCATAAACCGGTAAAAGCACTTTAGCAGTAACTCTTATAAATTGCTAAAGAGAGAGCATGAACTAGCTTGACAAGAAGAAACTCCTGGGGGCCCAGTCTCATGGGGACCACACTTTCATGAGTTTTACTTCCAGGAAACCCACCAGGTTCTAGCAGTGAAGATTCTATAAAAATCCCCTCCTATTTTCAGGGGAGAGGAAAAGTAACTAAAAATATCCCTGGTGCATTAACCACAACAAAGGATGCTTAAGAGAAAAGACTGCCAGAGCCTTCTCTGACCTGGGTAAAGGATGATTAGCCCTAACTCTAGCCCCCTACAGCCTTCTAGTCTCACCTACAAACACTTCTGAAGGTCATAGCCTAAGGGCTCAGGGGACTTCAAGAATTGAGATTTAATGGTAAGATTGTCTGCTTCCCCTTTGCAACCCTTTATCACCACAGCAACAGGGCTCCAGGGTGAGAACAGTGGATGAAAACTGAGAGAGCTGCAAGTCACTGATTCTATTTAAGAAAGAGGGAAACAAAGAAAACAGGTAGCCAGCAATGAGGACCTGCCCATTCTTGATGGAAAATCCTTACAAGGAGGCTCTTAAAAAAATGTATCTTGTGTGGAAAATGTGTAGATTATAAGAGAGTACAGCTTTTGTCTCAATTTATCTCTTTATTTACTGGATGCATTTATGGAAAGCACATAACAAGTCTCTGGGAAGAAACAGAAGGAATCATAAAAGCGATTAAGAGAGCTCAAATAATGGGGTTTGTGCCAGTTACATACAAAGATTCCACATATCTAAAAGAACATAAATCTTGTAACATCAAGTATCAGGAGTAAATTTTATGTTTTATCATCAATCAGCTTATTCTACAATAAAACGGAGTGGGGAGAGATAAAGGAAGCAAAGAACGAAGACATCAAATAGAATGTGTACATACTAATCCAACTATATACATAATCACTTCAAATGAATGGTCTAAACACATCAATTAAAAGACAAAGACTGGGGGCACCTGGGTGGTTCAGTCAATTTAAACATCTGCCTTTGCCTCAAGTCATGGGATCAAGCCTCATTGGGCTCCCTGCTCAGGTGGGGCGGCTCCTTTTCCCTCTCCCTTTTCTCCTCCCCTCCACTGGTACTCTCTCTCTTGCTCTCTCTCTCAAATAAATAAATGAAATCTTTAAAATAATAATAATAATAATGTCAAAATACATGAGGCAAAACCTGAATGAACTACAAGGAGAAACTGAAAAATCCACAATTATAGTCTGGAGATTTCGACACTCATTTTTCATTAATTGATAAACCAGCAGGCAGAAAAGCAGTAAGAAAATAGTTCAAAGGAACATCACCACCAATCAACTGGATCAAATTAATCAATAGGATACTTTATCCAACAGCAAAATATACATTCTTCCCAAGGTCACATGGAACATTCACTAAGATAAATTGCATTCTAGCTCACAGAATTCATCTAACATTTTTAAAGAATAGAAATCATGCAGAGTATGTTCTCAGACCACAGTAGAGTTAAACTAGATATCAGTAACCAGAAGAATGGCTGGAAAAATGCCAAATTTCTTGGAGAATAAATCACTTCTATTCTAAATAATATATGGGTCAAAGAAAAAAAATCTCAAGAGAAACTTTTAAAATATTTTGAACTAAATGAAATTAAAATGAAAATATCACTTAAGAAAATTTGCAGGTGCAACAAAAGAAATAGCTAGAGGGGAATGCATAGCATTTAATACATATTTTAGAAAAGAGGAAAGATATAAAATCAACTACCTTAATAAGCTTCCATCTTCAGAATTAGAGTTAGAAGAGCAATTTTATTATTTTTGTTATAAATATTTTTTTTACTTACTCATGAGAGAGACAGAGAAAGAGGCAGAGACATAGGCAGAGAGAGAAGCAGGCCGATGTAGGACTCCATTCCGAAACTCTGGGATGACACCCGGAGCCAAAGGCAGACGCCCAACTGCTGAGCCACCCAGGCATCCCAAGAAGAGCAATTTAAGCTTAAAACAAGCAGAAGAAAAGAAATTACAAAAATTAGAGCAGGATTCAATGAAGTTGAAATGAATGGAGAAAATCAATGAAACCAAAAACTGGTGCTCTGAAATGATTACTAAATTGATAAACTTCTAGGTTAAGGAAAAAAAAAAGTGAGAAGATAGAAATTACTAATATAAATGAAAGAAGGATCACTACTGACACTATGAACAAGAGTAATAAAAGAATATTATGAACATTATGCCTACATGTTTGATAAATAAGATGGACCAATTCCTTGAAAGACACAAATTACCAAGATTCACACAAGAAAAAATAGATAATCTGAATAGGCCTGCATCTATTAAAGAAATTGAATCAATAAATAATAACCTTCAAAAAAAGAAAGAACCAGGCTCAGATGGTTTCAATAGTGAATTTGGTTTCAATAGTCAATTGTCAAGAACCAGGCTCAGATGGTTTCAATAGTGAATTTGGTTTCAATAGTCAATTTTTTACAATTTCATCTAGCAACTAGAAGCAGAGGGAATATATTCTCTTTCTATGAGCCCAGGAATACACTAATACCAAAACCAGATAAAGGCATTACAAAAAAGGAAAGCTACACACCAATGCCTCTCATTACACTGAATGCAAAAATCCTCACAAAATATTAGCAAATTGAATCCAACAATGTATAAAAATAATTATACACTACAACAAAATTGGATTTATTCCAGATATTCAAGACTGGTTCATTATTCAAAAGTCAATTAATATATTCTATTACATCGACAGACTACAGAAGAAAAATTTTAAGAGCATATCAATTATGCGGAAAAAGCACTTGGCAAAATCCAACACCCATCATGTTAAAAACTCTCAGCAAACCAGGAACAAGGGGAACTTTCTCAACTTGAAAAAGGACATCTACAAAAAACCTATAGCTAACATCATACTTAATGGTGAGAAATTAAGGACAGGAACAAAGCAAGGGTATCACTTCTAACCAAGCCTATGCAATACTATAATGGAAGCCCTAGCTAGTATAATAGGACAAGAAAAGGAAATAAAAGATACACAGATTAAAAATGAAGAAATGACACTGTCTTTGTTCTCACACACATGATTTACATAAAAAAAATCCCAAAGACTTGACCAAAAATTATTTAAACCCTACAACTAATAAGTAATTACAACAGATTGTGGGGTACAAGGTTAAAAGTTAGTTGCTTTCTGGGGCACCTCGGTGGCTCAGTGGTTGAGCCTCTCTGCCTTTGGCTCAGGTTGTGATCCCGGGGCCCTGGGGGGGAGTCCAGCATCGGCCTCCCCGCAGGGAGTCTGCTTCTTTTTATGCCTATGTCTCTGCCTCTCTGTGTCTCTCATGAATAAATAAATAAAACCTTAAAAAAAAATAAAAAGTCAGTTGCTTTCTAATATCCCAGCAACAAACAACTGGAATTTCAAAATAAAAACCCAATACCAGGGCAGCCCGGGTGGCTCGGCAGTTTAGCACCTGCCTTCAGCCCTGCAGGGAGCCTGCTTCTCCCTCGCCTGTGTCTCTGCCTCTCTCTCTGTCTCTCATGAATGAATAAATAAAATCTTCAAAAAAATAAAAAATAAAAAAAATAAAAACCCAATACCATTTACATTAGTGTTCCCTTTTCCCCACAAAAAAAGAAATACTTAGGTTTAAATCTAACAAAATAGGTACAGAATCTATATGAAGAAAATTATAAAACTCCAGTGAATGAAATCAAAGATCTAAATGAATGAAATATTCTATGTTCATGGAAAAGAAGAATCAATATTGTTAAGATGTCAGTTCTTCCCACCTTGATCTATAGATTCAATGCAATCAAAAGCCCAGAAAGTACTTTGTGGATATTGACAAACTGACTCTCAAGTTTATATGGACAAGAAAATGCCTAGAATAGCTAACACAATACTGAAGAACAAATTGGAGGACTGACATAACCTGACTTAAAGTCTTACTATAAAGCTACAATAATCAAGACAACATGGTATTGGTGAAAGAATAGACAAATAGACCAAACAGAAGAGAGCCCAGAAATTGACCTACACAAATGTATTCAACTGCTCTTTCACAAAAGAGTAAATAAAGGCAATTCAATGCAGAAAAGATAATCTTCAATAAATATGCTGGAACAATTGGACATCCACATGCATAAACTTTGCACACGGAATCTAGACATACAACTTACACTTTTCACAAAAATTAACTCAAAATAGATCACAGACCTAAACATAAAACTATAAAATTTCTAGAAATATAATATAAGAGAAAATCTAAGTAGCCCTGAGTTTGGTGATGAGCTTTTATTTTTTTCTATTTAAAAAAAAAAAAATTTAAATTTTAAGTAGACTCCATGCCCAGCATGGAGCCCAACATGAGGCTTGAACTTATCACCCTGAGATCAAGACCTGAGCAGAAATCAAGAGTTGGACACTAAACCAACTAAGCCACCAGGTGCTCCCCCATGATGACCTTTTAGATACAAGGGCAAAAGCATGATCCATGAAAGAAAAAAAATTGTGAGTTGGACTTTAATTTAGAACTTCTGTTCTGCAAAACACACTGTTAAGAAAATGAAAAAACACAGGCCATATATTGGGAACACACATCTAACACATATCTAATACAGATTTTGTATCTAAAATATACAGAAGATTCAAAAATAAGAAAATATATAGAGGACTCTTAAAACTCAACAATAGGAAAACAAAGAATCCAACTGAAAAATGGACAAAAGATCTTTTTTTTTTTTGGACAAAAGATCTAAACAAATATCTTTTAAAAGAAGACAGACAACAAAAAAAGCAAATGGAAAGATCCTCAACATCATAGGTCATTAGAGAATTGCAAATTAAAACAACAAATGAGATATCACTATGCACCTATTAGAATGGCTAAAATACAAAAAATTAACAATACCAAATGTTGACAAGGATACAAAACAACAGGAACTCTCATTTATTGCTGGTAGGAATACAAAATGATATAGTCACTCTGGAAGAACTGGTAGTTTCTTACAAGTTGAACACAGTCTTAACATATGATCTAGCAATCACACTCCTATGTATTTACCTAATGGAGATGAGAAATAATATCTAAACAAAACCTGCACCTGAATGTTTATGGCAGCCTTATTCCTAATTACCAAAAACTGGAAGCAATCAAGATGTTTCTCAATAGGTGAATGGATAAACAAACTAGGTACATCCAAAAGATGGAATGTTACTCAGTGATAAAAAGAAATGAGCTATCAAGCCACCAAAAAAAGAGACCCAGAGGAGTCTTTTTTAAAAATTAATATATTTATTTATTTTGAGAGAGAAAGAGCACATGTGAGTGGGGCAGAGGGAGTGGGAGAGAATCTTAAGCAGACTCCTCGCTGAACATGGAGCCTGATCTTGATCTCAGGACTTGATCTCAGGACCCTGAGATCATGACCTAAGCCAAAATCAAGAGTCAATCACTTAACCAACTGAGCCATCCAGGCACCCTAAAGACACAAAGGAACCTTAAATGTTTATTATTACTAAGTGAAGGAAGCCAGTCTGAAGACTACATACTGGATGATTCCAATTCCAATTATATCACATTCTAGAAAAGGAAAAAATATAGAGATGGCAAAAAAAAATTAGTGGTGCAAGGGGTCCTGAGGGAGGGGCAAAGAGGTGAAGCAAAGGCAGTAAGTCGTCTATTCTGTGATACTGTAAGTGGTAGATGTATGATATAGATACATCAAAATCACAGAATTGTAACACAAAGAGTGAACCCTAAGGTATGCAAAATTTTTAAAAAATTAGGAGTTCAAGGACCCCAACAAAGAGAGAAAAGAAGGTAGACTGTAACAAGCAAATCTACGTGTACATCATATGTATGAAACAACCTCACTCCAAGGAACAGAGGAAAAGTGCTGACCCAAGAAACTTGTGAAATAGATGGAGTCTATAAGAACAAAGGCAAAAAGAACTGCAACCAAATAATGTACTCTGGTTGACAAACTTGTTCCTCATGGCAGTAAGGTTAACAATTCAGATATGGCTCCAGATGTATACTGGAATTAAACAATTATATAAACAGATAGGGGGTGGCAGGAGCCAGGTTTCTCATGGTATGAGTGAGGGTTTGCAGATAAGCAAGGGGAGGAGGCTAGAATGATTCATATGGTAATAGATTAAAGTTAGGGGCATCATGAAGAATGAATATTTAATTTAATATAGACACAGATGGTTATGAATAGAAATACTTACAGATAAACGCATATGCACAGATTAGTATACAAACACATATTTATTTCTTTGTTTGGTCAGTTCAGAGGGTCTAGAAGCAATGATACCCCAGTGGTAACAAATACCTCTAGAGCCAGATTTTGGTTTCTAATATCATTTTCTAAAAAAAAAAAAAGAACCAGGAAGGGGACACCTCGGTGGCTCAGTGGTTAAGCATCTGCCTTCAGCTCAGGGTGTGATCCTGCAGTCCCAGGATCAAATCCCTCATCAGGCTCCCCACAGGGAGCCTGCTTCTCCCTCTGCCTGTGTCTCTGCTTTCTCTCTGTGTCCCTCATGAATAAATAAATAAAATCTTAAAAAAAAAAATAGGGGATCCCTGGGTGGCACAGCAGTTTGGCGCCTGCCTTTGGCCTAGGGTGCGATCCTGGAGACCCGGGATCGAATCCCATGTCGGGCTCCTGGTGCATGGAGCCTGCTTCTCCCTCTGGCTGTGTCTCTGCCTCTCTCTCTCTCTCTCTCTCTCTCTGTGTGTGTGTGTGTGTGACTATCATAAATAAATAAATAAATTAAAAAAAAAATAGAGAACCAGGGAGAATTCCTCAAGTAACTGGCTGACTCTGGGAACAGGACAAGAAACACACAAGGATCCCTCCTGGAGCATCTTGTAGTGCCAGAAAGTAAGAAAGTGCTTCAAGTAAAACAAAACCCCACAATGATGAGGGTATGTCAAAGAGACACAAGAATCAACTGAAAATACTCCCAATGGCCGAAGCTGGAAGAATGTGAGCAACAACATAAATAAAGTAGCATTAGATTATAACCCAAAGTACAAAATAAATATCCTGAGTCCATCCTAAAATAAGTAAATGATCGAACAAATTAGTAAGTGAGAGAGAAGAGAAAAATCTTTGTGTGGAGGAATTCCAAATAAATTATGTAGCTACTCCTACTCCAATAAAAAAAAATTTTTTTTAATTATGTAGCTACTCCACCCTAACGGAGGGGGAGCATAATTCCCCACAGCCTAAATGTGGGCTGCATAGAGTGACTTCCCTTCAAAGTATAGCATGACGAGGAGGGGGAGGAGAATAACTTCCGAGTGGAGAAACAAGGCAAATACTACTAAGCTAAATAATTATGGTCAACGCCAATAGTTATAAATTGTTCAATTAGATGGGATGGGATGAAAATGGCACTTTACCTCTGTGATTTTCCTCCCCCAAAACTATAACTCCAGTGAATTATGAGAACAACAGCAGAGAAATGCCATTAGAGTGGCATCCTCTGATACACCTGATCACTACTCCTCAGAAGGTCAAGTTGTCAAAAATAAGGAAAGTCTGAGAAATTGTCAGAGTCAAGAGGAGCCTAAGGACACATGAAACTAAATGCAGTGTGGTATTCTGGATGCGATCTTGGAACAGAAAAAGAACATTAGATTAAAAACTAAGGAAATTTGAATAAATCATGAACTTTAATTAATAATTATCAATACTGGTTCATTATTTATAACAAATAGACCATACTAGTGCAAGATGTTAATAAAAGAGGAAATGGTGTGCAGACATGGGAGTAATATGAAAATTCTGTACTGTCTTTGCAATTTTTCTGTAAATCTAAAACTATTCTAAAAAATAAAGCCTATTAATTTTTTTTAATACTTTCATTTTGGGGTACCTGGGTGGCTCAGTTGGTTAAGCAGCAGACTCTTGATTTCAGCTCAGATCATGATCTCAGAGTCCTGAGTTCAAGCCCCATGTCAGGCTCCACACTCAGCATGGATCTGCTTAAGATTCTCTCTCTCTTTCTCCTCCCCCTTCTGTCCCTCCCTGCTACCCCACTTGCACTTGCATGTTCTTTCTATCAAATAAATAAATAAATCTAACAAAATAAAATATTTTTATCTTAAGCTTCCTGTCAGTTGCAGAGGAGATTAATCCAAATTAACATACCCATCCCCCAATTTAGTATGTACAAAATATCAAAAAGTCCTAAGTACAATTCTAGGGGGCTCCTAGACATTGTCCCCCTTTTATGGGCTGAATTGTGGCCTCTCAAAATTCCTCTGCTGAAGTCCTAACCACAATCCCTCAGACTGCAACTATATGTGGAATTAAGATCTTTATTCAGGTAATTTCAGTTAAAATGAGGACACTAGGTTGAGGCCTAATCAAATAGGGCTGATGTCCTTGCAAAAAGAAAAGAGTAGGACACGTACACGGAGGGAAGGATATGTGAAGACACAAGAAGAAGATGGCCATCCATCAGCCAAGCAAAAAGGCCTCAGAAAAACAAAACAAAACAAAACAAAACAAAAACAGCTCTACTGATACCTTGATCTCAGACTGCTAGATTCCAGAATTGTGAGAAAATAAATTTCTGTTATTTAAGCCATTCGGTTCAGTGGTGTTTTGTTATGGCAACCCTAGCCAACGAATACACCCGCCAAAGCTCATCTACATGTTATCAGACCCATCATAATAAAGAAAAGTAGAGCTCAAAGAGGCATTTGGAGGATAGTGTTGCTGTTGTTACAAGTCTTCACTGGGCACCTACCTCACAGCAGTTCCCAACTGGGCATATTTTATGTAATCCTCAGACTATTATGAGAGGTATGATTTATCAACCCATTTTGTACAAGGGAAAATTCAGGCCCAAAAATGTTAAATGGCTGGCCCAATCACTCAATTTAGAAGCAGCAAAGCTAAGACAGGATTCAGATCTATGGAACCAGAGCCCAGCATCTCTCTCCCTTCCCAGCTACCTTTCAAAGATACCTCTACAGTGAACATGCACCAACCACACACTAAGTGAATTATATCATAATTAATATAGCTATCTTTCACTGACCATTTACAATGGGCTAAGCACTATGCTAAGTGTTACCTGCATTTTTCATAGATTCTTCCCCACAATAAACCCCCTAGGTAAGTATTATTACATTTGTTCAGAACGTGGTTCTACGTGATTAATAACTTGCCCAAAGTTGTCCAACTGTCCATAGAAGCCCAGGACTCAAACTCATGTCTGTCCTACAGATTGGCCCATGCTCCAAACCCCTGCTCCATTTGGCCCACAGCTCCACCTCAAGCCTCAGCACCATGGCAACCACAGGGCCCTGCCCCCAGGTACTCACCCACAACCTCCAGGTTGACTGTTCCCACTGCTTTGTAAGGGGTGACCACCACCTCACATCGGTACTCTCCTGCTTCCCTCAGCTGGACGCCTGGCAGCTGGAGTGAGGCATCCCCCCTTTGCAGCCTCCTTTCAGACACGTAGGCTCCAGATCGTAATATCATTTGATGGTCACCAAAAAACTCAAACAGTTTAACTTCTGTTGCAGAGGCCTGATGCTTCCGATACCAGGTAATACCCATAACTGTGATGTCCAGATGGTGGTAACCATGGATTTTGCAGACAATAGTGGCATTATCATTTAGGAGCACCTTCTGAGTCTTCCCTGCCATCTCCACTTGCAGGAGACCTGTGGCAATAAGAGAACTCAGTTATGGGAGACCCTTGGAAAAAACATAGGCATGTTACTCTCAAACGCTGCCACATAATTGGAAGCAAATTCCTTTTTTTTGTGGGAGAGGGAGTATCTCAGGTACAGGGGCTCTAAGTTCACAGCTCCACATTAATCCATATAAGATCCTTCAAGTTTGTTCTTTTTCAAGATTGTTTTCAATATTCAGTGTTCCTTGCAGTTTCATGGGAATTTTACAATTAGTGTATTTATTTCCACCAAGAAATGCTCTGAGACTCTAACAGGAATTGCCATGAATCTGTAAATTAATTTGGGGAGAATTGCCATCGTAACAATGCTGCCTTTTTTTTTTTTTAAAGACTTTATTTATTTATTCATGAGAGACATCGGGGGTGGGGGGGGTGGGCAGAGACACAGGCAAGAGGGAGAAGCAGGCTCCATACAGGGAGCCCATCGTGGGACTCGATCCTGGGTCTCCAGGATCAGGCCCTGGGCTGAAGGCGGCACTAAAACGCTGAGCCACCTGGGCTGCCACAATGTTGTCTTCTAATTCATGGATGTGTTTTTGGGATGTGCTAAGGATTGAATGTTTGTGTCCCTCCAAAATTCATATGTTGAGGCCTACAGCCCAGTGTGATGATATTTGGAGGTAGGCCCTTTGGGAGGTAATTAGGTCATGAAGGTAGAACCCTCATGAATGGGATTAGTGTCCTTATTAGAGACATGAGAGAGAGATCTCTTTCTCAGCATCAGGGGATAGAGTAAGAGGGTACTGCTCCACAAGCCAGGAGGAAGCCCCTATCCAGGAACTAAATCAGCACCTAGATCTTGGACTTCCCAGGCTCCAGAACTGTTAGAAATAAATCTGTTGTTTAAGCCACTCACTCTAAGGTATTTGTTAGGGTGGCCTAAAAAGACTTAATAAGACAGGATGTTCTCCCATCGCACTTATTTAGATCCTCTTAAATTTTTGTCAACCACGAACATTCTCACTGTTCTGATTTTGTAATAATCAGAGCAGGCTAAACATTTGCTATATTAAGACCATGCATGTGTCCCCAGACTTAGTTCCTTCCCTAGGTCTGGTTTTATCAGTGCTGGTGATAGACCAATTCTGATTTATAAGATGCATCTTATGTAGGAAATGTCTCTGATTCAAGGCGTCCAATTTTTTTTTTTTTGAGAAATGACAGCAAACCTAGTGTAGTAACTTTTGAAGATAACTGTTGCTAATTTGATGATTACAGTTGATAATCTGATGATTATTTAATGGTAATGATGATGATGATTATTTAATGCCATTAAATAAACTGTAATACTTAAAGAAAAAGAAAAGCTTTATAGTTTTCCGAGTAAAACTGTTGTGCTTCTTTTGTTAAATTCATTCCGCAGTATTTTATTCTTTCTGGTGGTGTCATAAATCGAATTGTTTCTTAATTTTATTCTGAATTGCTCATTGCCAGTGTATAGAAATAACATTTACCTTTTTTTTTTTTATATCCATCTCCCTTCCCTAACAGGTTACCATTCTAAGATGTTTAAAGCTTCTGTTTTTGTTCTCTTTAACACTGCCTTGTTTTGTTTCTCAAACTTACAAAAATGGTTTGGAGTTACCTGTCACTGTTTCTGCTCTTCGCAACTGCTTCAAATCCTGTCTCATTGCTGTGTGTACAGCTAGTCCATTGGTAGAAGGTAATGAGAAGTGGGTACAGCTAGTCCACCGGTTGAAGGTAGTAGTGAGTTCTCCACATGCAAACCCACATTTGGCTCATCCCCAGCCCCAGTGATGGACACCCCGCCGGTCTCCTAAATTCCCACATCCCCACCCGTCCACCCAGCACCACTTGGCACATCCCAGTGGACTCTGGCCAATTCATTCTCAAGTGACATCTTACTATTTTTAACTTCTATTCTATGACCTCTGAATGCAGCAATCTTTTTTTTTTTTCTCATTAAACTTTTGTTTTAATGGGTCTCAAAATTCTGTGACAGATTTTTGGTCCAGTTGTTTCCATTAAAAAGTACTGATTTTAAAAACTAATAACTTAAAACTGCCACACACGCACACACAAAAAAATGGTCCACAAAACATTCTCCTTTCCTTCTGAAGGTTTTACGATGCATTGTTATCATTAACCAGTCTTTTACTATTAAACTTAAATGGCCAATTGACACAAACAGTTCTGAGACTGTTCTTCCACCACTGATTAAGACTGGGGTGGCAGGGGATCCCTGGGTGGCTCAGTGGTTTGGCGCCTGCCTTTGGCCCAGGGCGCAATCCTGGAGACCCGGGATCGAATCCCATGTCAAGCTCCCTATATGGAGCCTGCTTCTCCCTCTGCCTATGTCTTTGCCTCTCTGTGTGTGTGTGTGTGTGTGTGTGACTATCATGAATAAATAAAATCTTAAAAAAAAAAAAGACTGGGGTGGCAGGTATTGGGGATAATATTCATTTAGCCTTCTGAGCTTTCTGGGCAGACTTGGTGACTTTGCCAGCTCCAGCTGCCTTCTTGTCCACTGCTTTGATGACACCCACAGCAACGGTCTGTCTCATGTCAGGAACAGCAAAACGGCCCAGAGGAGGATAGTCAGAGAAGCTCTCAACACACATAGGTTTGCCAGGAACCATATCAACAATGGCAGCATCCCCAGATTTCAAGAACTTGGGACCATCTTCCAGCTTCTTTCCAGAACGACGATCTATCTCTTCCTTCAGCTCAGCAAACTTGCAAGCAACGGGAACGCGCCCGATCTCGTCTGAATGCAGCTTTCAACTAGCTTCTCAGGTAAGGAAGTTAGACACTGTCTCGACAGGAGGCGCAATGGTAAGGCCCTCTCTTCCCTCTCACCATCAATACTTTCTCGCATGCGATTTCCACTAAGCCTCTCCCATACAGGTTAAGAACTGGTAGCGCGTCATGTGCCTCGCTGCCTTTCGTTTCCTGTTCGATCCATACAAACCCCTCCGTGTCATTTAGGCTGAGCCTCCGCAGACCGCTGCCCTTCACCAGCAGGTGGAGGAGGAGCGTTTTCTTGCTTTCTCTCCTACTCGCCCCCACCCCCCATCCCTATACTTTGCTCTTTTTTTTTTTTTCTTAAGATTTTATTTATTTATCAATGAGAGACGGAGAGAGAGAGAGAGAGAGAGAGAGAGAGAGAGAGAGACGGGGGGGGGCAGAGGGAGAAGCAGGCTCCCCTCCTTGCTCCCTCCCAGCTCCGGTGCAGGGGAGCCCGAGGCGGGGGGGGGGGGTGGGCAGAGGGAGAAGCAGGCTCCCCTCCTTGCTCCCTCCCAGCTCCGGTGCAGGGGAGCCCGAGGCGGGGGGGGGGGGGCAGAGGGAGAAGCAGGCTCCCCTCCTTGCTCCCTCCCAGCTCCGGTGCAGGGGAGCCCGAGGCGGGGGGGGGGGGGGCAGAGGGAGAAGCAGGCTCCCCTCCTTGCTCCCTCCCAGCTCCGGTGCAGGGGAGCCCGAGGCGGGGGGGGGGTGGCAGAGGGAGAAGCAGGCTCCCCTCCTTGCTCCCTCCCAGCTCCGGTGCAGGGAGCCCGAGGCGGGGGGGGGGGCAGAGGGAGAAGCAGGCTCCCCTCCTTGCTCCCTCCCAGCTCCGGTGCAGGGGAGCCCGAGGCGGGGGGGGGGCAGAGGAGAAGCAGGCTCCCCTCCTTGCTCCCTCCCAGCTCCGGTGCAGGGGAGCCCGAGGCGGGGGGGGGGGGCAGAGGAGAAGCAGGCTCCCCTCCTTGCTCCCTCCCAGCTCCGGTGCAGGGGAGCCCGAGGCGGGGGGGGGGGGCAGAGGGAGAAGCAGGCTCCCCTCCTTGCTCCCTCCCTGCTCCCGTGCGGGGAGCCCGAGGCGGGTCTCGATCCCGGGCACTTCCCAGGCCTCCCCGCCTCGCCGCGCCCCCGGCCCCCCCCGCGCCCCCCCCCCCGGACCTACCTGAGCTGGCCGTCCCGAACCACTGGACCAGAAGCAGGAGCGCCGGCAGGAGCAGGAGCGGCGGCCCGTGCGCCATCGCCAGACGAGCGGAGGCCGCGCTCACGAGCCCCGGACCCCGGAGCCGCGCCGCGGAGGAAGACACCGGGGGCGGGGCGCACCAGCTGGGCGCGCGTGCAGCGGTCCCCGGAGCCCGGGCCGGTCCGGTCCGCGCCGCTCCACTCGGAAGAGCCGTGCCCCGCCCCGCCCCGCCCCGCCCCGCCCCGCGCATGGCGACCCCCGCACCAATCGGACGTTGCACGTGGCGACGCCCGCACCAATCGGAGGTTGTGGGTCCGCCCACGCGTGGCTCCGAGCCCGCCTTCCAGAGGTGGGACCTGGCCTCCCGCGTGAGCGACTTTGCAAACTGAGGCCGGGAGCCGAGAGGCCCGGGGGTCTCTGCTCTTACCCGGCGTGTGGCGCAGTCGGATGAAGCCCCCACCCTCGACGTGGGCTGGGGTCACGATCCCAGAGCCCAGCCAGCAGCCCCCCACCCGCGGCTCCCTGCGGAGCCCGAGTCCGGTTCTCCCCGAGCCCCGCCCCTCCTCACCCGGCGGACGCAGTTGCTCTGTTAAAAAGTAGATCTTTATCTCTCTCTATATATAGATCTTTAAAGACACCTAGAGGGATCCCTGGGTAGCGCAGCGGTTTAGCGCCTGCCTTTGGCCCAGGGCAAGATCCTGGGTCTCCAGGATCGAATCCCACGTCGGGCTTCCAGTGCATGGAGCCTGCTTCTCCCTCTGCCTGTGTCTCTGCCTCTCTCTCTCATTCTGTGTGACTATCATAAATACATTAAAAAAAAATTTAAAGATACATAGAGATAAAGATATATATCTTAAAAATTTGTTTACATTCTGAAACTAAAAACCAATCTATCTCCTGGACGCTTGGCTCAAACACCAAAAGGCGGCCCTTCCCTTGATGGGATGGGCACTGGGTGTTTACTATATGTTGGCAAATTGAATTTTAGTAAAACAATAAAATAAATAAAATGAAAAAAAAAAGGTAGGACGCATGAGTGGCCCAGCGGTGGAGAATTGCTGGATCTCCAGCAATTGTAAGAATTACAGGATCAGGCTGGGTGTGAATGAAGACTTAGAGGCACCGTCAGTAACTAAGCAAATGTTGACCTTCTCACCTGCAGAACAGCATGCAGTAGTGGAAAGAGCAACCTGGGAGGTGAGCAGGGTGGCCACACTGATACCAACTAGCTGCTGAGGGCCTTCAGAATGTCACGGTTTCTGGCCCGCAGTTTTAACAAGTTAAGAGATCTACAAGGTTAGGTCCATAGAATTCTAAAATCCTAAATTACACCTCTTCTCAACTGCTACCTCTTCCAGGAAGGCTTAACCTAAGGAGGAGTCCTCTTTGGTATTACTAGCATGATTAAATAACTTCATCCAAAGGAAGTTATCTGTTGAATCCCCATACTTGCCTAGTTAACCACTCTGCAAACCACTGGGATTTTCACTTGTGTGCTATTGAGTTAGGGATAGAAGGGGCTAGAGAGGGAAAGATAAAGGAAAGGCCCAGAATCAGGCTCCTATGAATCCCAAGGAAACAAAGGCAACAAAAATGGACAAGGAAGTAAATCTGGCCTGCTGGCTCCAAATTTTAAGGAATAGCTTCCTTTGACTGCTACAAAGTAATTACAGAGAGTCGCCAGACCCCAAAACAGCCATATGCCATTCACTCAAGATGGTACAAAAAACCTCAAGGCCATACACTCCCTGGTTAGGTTCTCAATAAAAGACCAAGCCAATAAGCCCCCAGTGGCAACTCTGTTGGGACCCCTCTCACTTCTGAGAGCTCTCTCTGTTATCCCCGCTTAATAAACTTCTAGCTTTACTCACTCTTCTTTGTTGGTGAGATTCGTTCTTTGACTCCATGAGACAAGAACCTAGCTCTCCTGCTTCACTATCATTGGAAGCAGGAGCTGCATACTAAGAAATGCTGGAAAAGGAATTCCTTCGTTGGTACATGATCTCTAAGGCCCTCAGACTCTATGGCTCTATAATTGTATTCTGCAAACAACCCATTCTTTCAACATTGCCGAGTTTGTCCTTTTCCCCAGAAAATTGCAACAAATATTACATATTTTTCTGATTTTACATTTAATATAATTAAAAACAAAGCTATACAAATATGACCAGAATATTTTCTGACAAATATTGCACTAGAATTTTTACAATATAAACATCAAAAAACAAATATAACAAACTTGTATAAAGTCTATGTGTCTTTCTGATTAAATCCAGTTATTAAAATCCAGTTATTAATTTGTAGTTTACTTAATCCAATTTTCTTAAGAAGCCAAAAAGAATTAAGTTCAAATACACTTCAGATTAATAAAATTTCTGTCCAAACTCTAAAATTAACAGAACACTCTGGGGCACATCTTTATAAAAGGTTACATTTTTAATTCAACATTTAAATTGAAAAAGATTCCACAATCTCTCAAATTTAGCAATAATAAAATAAGTGGTCTTTAAAATAGGATGTATAAACCATCATTATTAAATGTTTTTTAAAACATAATAAATACTGATAATATATGGATTATGCAGCTCTGGTTTCCTTCATGAAAAGGAAAGGCAAATTTTTTTTCACTTTTTAATGCCAGGAGATTATTTTTTTCAGAAGACACAGAATAACTAATGATATTCCTTCCACATCTCTTTTAGGCACAAGCTTACATATAAATGTACACATATTGCTTCTGAAATATGATCTTTCAATTAGAGGCCATAAAAATTGGTACATAGACACTTTGAAAATTGCAAGGGCTTGTAACCTCCACGTGTACTCAAAGATCCTGGACTAACAGCTTCAAAGAAAGAAACACCTTCATTGAAAGGGGGCTCCTTCCTCCACCTCTGCTACAGTACTTGAGCCTCTAGGGCTCTCCCACTCTTAGGCCCCTGAAACTGGGTAGAAAAGTACAAGTAGAGCTATCTGGAAGTCACCAGAGCAAACACAAAAGAATGAAACAGTCACTCTGGGCATTAACGGGCTTCAAAGTATCCTTCAAATACTTAGCCTCTATTATATTTTATATAAATCTTTTGTAAATTAATCCTGTTTTAATAAAATCATCTCTTCATCTTAATTAGTAATACAACAGGCTCTCTTGGAGAAGAGATGAATAGTTTGGGATTGTGAGGGAAGTGCTGAATTCATTTGAAAGGCCTGGTAATTAACCCCAAAAGCTTATGGCAGTGAAACTTTAAGACAGCTGACAGTGGTGCTAATAACATTCTACATCCCTCAAAGCTCTCTCCCTGGACTCCAGAGGTGCATTAGAAACACAACAGTGGGAAAGTCAGTACAAAAGTAGAAAATGGGGGGGGATCCCTGGGTGGCTCATCAGTTTAGCACCTGCCTTTGGATTGCACCCCGCATCAGGCTCCAGGAATGGAGCCTGCTTCTCCCTCTGCCTGTGTCTCTGCCTCTCTCTCTTTCTCTATTGTGAATAAATAAAATCTTAAAAAAAAAAAAAGTAGAAAATGGGAGAATTCCTAGAGGGAAAAGAACTTAATTAAAATTCAGATGGGGTGCCTGGGTGGCCCACCTCTGGGTTTCCAGAGTTCCTGGTCTAGTGGGTCATGATCTCAGGAATTGTGGGATGGAGACAGCTTCTCTCCGTGCTCAGCGGAGTGTCTTCTTGGGGATTCCCCCTACTCGCTCCCACACACTCTCTCTCTCTAAAATAAATAAATCTTAAACACAAAACTCAGATCATCCAGGCAAAAATAATGAATACAAAAAACTGTGCTACTTCTCTTCTAATCAGAAATTGTGAAACCCATGTCCTAGTCTGTTACAATTAAAAATTTTTTCTCCTTTATTAACAACTGTAAGACAAAGTGTCTGCTGGAATGCACCAAGTATTTTTTTTAACTATTATTACTTAAGGAGGGTACAAAAAAAAAGCTTAAAACTTGGACAAGTGACATTCATCAGAGTCTGAATGCTATGTATTTGCTCCATAAGCTGGTTCACTCTGGAAGAAGAGTTAGGAACTCTAACTCATGAGTTAGAAATTTTCTTTAGGATTAGAGTTACTCTCCACAGTGCTCAGAAACCTCTGTAGGAATGACTGCCTGCTTACCTAAATAGCTAACTTGTGCAAATGTGGTTTTCTTTTCCCCAATATCAATCATGAATCTCAATGAAACTTGCTATAAATATCAAATAGTGAAAATACATACACATCAAAGGAAACAAGAAATGTATATAGAATTAGAACTGAGAGTTCATCGAAAAAAATTATGATTACAAACTGTAAGATACATTGCTCAGTGCTATAGAACAAGAAGATGTTAGGAGTTTTAAACTGCTGTGTTTGACAAACATGCTTCACTACTACCACAAAAATGTTTGAACAGTAAGAGCCATGGCAAATGTTTTAAAAAGGAAAAAGATCTATAAGACATCATCACTACACTAATAAGGAAATATTTACAAAGTAGCAATACCAAGAACAGAAAGGGTAAAATTCAAAAGTAGAGCAAACTCAAATCACTTGAACAACTGAAGGGTAATAGTGAATAGTAAACTAGGTAAAACAGTGGTACAAAACAAATATAGAATGGCAAGGCTGTACATGGGTTTCATATTACACACAGGGAATCTAAAATGAAGGCAGGAATTTAGTTAAATGACACATACTCTCATATCACTAAAAATCTACATTTAAGGTAGACTAAATCGAACAAAAGTAACATTTTATTTTTTTTTTATTTTTTAAAGATTTTATTTATTTACTCATAGAGACACACACAGAGAGAGAATGAGAGGCCGAGACACAGGCAGAGGGAGAAGCAGGCTCCACCCAGAGAGCCCAACGTGGGATTCGATCCAGAGTCTCCAGGATCATGCCCTGGGCTGTAGGCGGCGCTAAACCACTGCGCCACCGGGGCTGCCCCCAAAATAACATTTTAATACAATGATTCATAAGAGAAGGCAAAGAGAACTAGATGGAATCTTACTTCTCTCTCACTTCTAAAGCCCTCAGACAAGTCAAAACTTTAACATCATGTGGAAATAAATCATTACCCATTTTTAAATTCCATGGAGCAGCAAAATTATAAGAAACATAAAATAAAGTATTTTAATACTTTATAAGATCTACATTCATAATCCTGGAAATCTTGGAAAATATACTTATTGATAAGGATAA